TTTTATAAGTAAATAATTAAAAAAATTATTTTAAAATGGTTGAAGTATAATAGAAAAATTAATTTGAAGTATCAATGTGAATTATAAAAAATAATAGACAATAACAAATTTTCATCTACTTCTCCTTTATTTGTCTCGGACTTATTTAAAATAATTATATAATTTTTCTTACCGCTTTTATTTTTGAAAAAAATACATTTATTTAGGTGTTTATTATAGGATCTAAGATAATGAAAAACATATGAATATTAAAATGAGTAATGGAGATTAATATGGCAAATTTGTGAATTATTCCAACTTGAATGTTAAAAATTGTAATATTTATTGAAATTTAGGGTCAAATTTGATGAAATTAAAACTTTAGATTGAAGATTGATACCAAATAAGTTTAGAGGTAAAAATTAATTATTTGGTAAAGGTCTGACTTAAATGCACGAGTATTGTTAAAGGTCAAAGAGTTCATGTAGCATGTCAGGAAGGAGTTGCATGACGAAACTCCGACCATACTAAGATAATGCTCAAAATATGTGAGGGAGGATGCTCAATTCATATAATATAAAAGTTAGTTTTAGTTTATTATTGAATAAAAATTTAAACCTTAAATTTATTTAAGATTAAAAGATATATTTATTTTTTAATTTTCATAGAAACAATAATTTAGTTGGTAAATACAATTTAATGCCACAATTTATTACATGATTAGTTTATCAATTATATGTATTAGAAAATTTAAAAAGATAAAATAAAACAGAAAAATATATTTTATTTTATTTTATTTTATTTATTTTTGGAAACTTGAGCGTAATTTACGAATAGTCCCCGAAGACACGGCACGTACGATTGGGGATAGCTAGTAGCTACTGGACGCAGTCCAAACATAGCACCCAAAATTTAGGCAAATCGGGCCCTTCCAAATGGGCCCCCACCGGGCCCAACTCGCCCCATTACCCGGCCCAATACTCCTCCTTCCTTCTCCCCTTCAAAAATCACTTGCTTGTCCCTCTCTCGGCTCGTCAAACGCCCTCTCTTCTTCTTCCAATGGAGTCTTCTCCGGACGACATCGCAGACGACCTCCAGAGCCTCAGCTTCAATTCCACCAACACCAACCACAGCATCAGCTCCGGCTCCGAGACCACTCTCACCGCCTCCTCCTCATCCGTACACATCCCTTCTATTCTCAACAAGCCTCACGCGCCTTCTTCCGACCCTTGCTGGTCTGCCGTTAACCGGATCCGATCCGACTCGTCGTCTCGCCAACTCGCCTTCTCCGACCTCAAGTTCTTCAACCGCCTCGGTTCCGGCGACATTGGCTCCGTCTACCTCGCTGGCCTCAAGTCCACTGGAGCCGATGGATGCCTGTTCGCGGCGAAGGTAATGGATAAGAAGGAACTGGCGAGTCGGAGTAAAGAAGGCAGAGCAAGGACTGAGAGGGAGATTTTGGAGTCTTTAGACCATCCGTTTCTTCCGGCACTCTATGCTAGTATCGACTCGCCTAAGTGGCTCTGTCTCTTGACGGAGTTCTGTCCCGGCGGTGACCTTCATGTTCTCCGGCAACGGCAGCCAAACAAACGATTCGATGAACTCGCCGTAAGGTGCGCACCATAGCAAATCAATGATTCATCTCTTTAGTTTCAATTTGGATTTCATTATATTATTATTTGCACGCACAAAATACATTATACAACTCCAGTTAGAATTCTTTTTTCTTTTTTTAATTGAGGGATTGGAGAGCTGGGTTCGAATCGTGTGTGGCGAGTGTAGCGATGAGTGGGAAATGCACGCTCTGGGAAAGTGACGATGCGTGGGAGTGGTCCCACAACTTGACATGACCGGTATGACGGTCAGAAGTGGGACCTTCTGGTTGGTCATTGTCGCTTGAGGGATTTGAGGCGCTTGAGGGATTTGAGGGGAATAGGATGTTACTGTGGGACTATTGGCACTGGATAATTTTAGCTCGTTAGTATAGAAGGATGGATATTTTTTTAGAGAAACTGGGACTGTTGAGTGCTGTCTCGGACTCAGTGATCAGATGAGGCAAGGCCCACGTGAGCTCGAGAGTCGATGTCTGTGAGCTCTCCAATAGGATCCAAATTAGAAGGTCAAAGTTTATTTCCTCTGCTGACTTTCTTTAAATAAATAATTTTACTGCCAGCGGTGTTTTGAGAAATTTGTTCCAAGTGGAGCAACCACGAAGCTCAAAGCACTGGGTGATCAGATGGTTGCTGTTTCTGAGTTGTTATTAGTATCTGTATACATTTTTTTACAACGAAGCATTTATGAAATCATGTTTTATTTTTTAGTTCTTAAATTTCTTTTACGAATGATCCATATGAGAGAATAATCAGAGTTGTTTTTCACTATTTAACACAAACTTGAACACAGTTCCATAGTTAAACCATTTTTATCTTTCTTGGCAAGTTTTGGGTTTGATAAAATTCTAAAAGAAATTTTAGAAAAGTATTTCTAAGGGTATTTATTGAAGTTTTAGAATACATTTTTTATGGGTTGTTCTTAGGATATTTGCTGAAGAAAAAAGCAACCCTTTAACTAGTTTAGCTATTTTCTTCTTTGACCATGTCGGTTTGGATGGAGTTGCGAGGAAGAAGAATAGGGTCCCCATCGCATTAATTTTTTGTTAACTCACAATTTATTCTCACTGGAAACAAAAGAAACTACCCCTAAAGTCTCCATTGGTGCACAAAAGCCAGCTCATATTGAGTTATAGCCATCTATTATTATGCCATACCAGCTGGTTAGATCAACTCCTGCCGAGCTTTCCTTTAGTTCCACGGCAAGGTGTCATAATTTTTGTGCAAGTCCCCATAAGTTTTTGCAGGTTGTCTTAATTTATTATAGAAAAAGGTTTGCCACCCTACCGGTAAGTAAAGTAAATGAACCTAAATATATAAATCAGAGAGAACGTAATGGTAAGTAAGCAGGTTTTGTTGTCCATTTATTACCATTGCCGCTAAAAGACATTTTTCTCTCTTTCTCTCTGTTACTTGAACAAGTAGTTTTGTTTTATTTATTTAATTGATTTTTTGGGGTGCGGGGGGTGGGGCTAGTGATGGTGTAGGGTCCAAGACAGGCACTAGATAAATACATACATTACATGTTCATATGGCCAAAATATCAAATTGGCATATAAACAATTCTGGTAGTTGCTCTTTAGCATCAGAGAGGGGCTCACATGTTCTTTCTTGAAGATTTTGAGATCTCGAAAGGACTTAGAATTCCAAATCTCGTGGCTCTCCGTGCTTTTACTGGATTTCTGGATTGTTTTACCTACCATTTTGAGTAAACTTACTCAGGACAACCCTTTAGCCTCAAATCTAAGATGGTCAATCCCTCATCGTTCATTTCATGATTTGTCAAATCTTTCTAAATGATCTGTAATAAGTCAATAACCATGTGATTTGCAAGAATCCGAGGCCTCCCACGTTACAATAATAATGGGGAATGTTCTCTCTTGGATGGTTTCAAATGTGAAAGCACATTATTTTTTAATATCCTTAATGTGTGACTTTAACTGGCCAGGCCGAGGAGATGAGACATATATACATGCAAACCAATAAAAAAAGAGGGAAATTCCTGGAGCCCCTCCACGTAGCCATTGGTTTAGCTAATTTGGTCGGCCCACAGGCTAAAAGTCTACAGACACTTTGTTATTTCTCTCTTGTTCTTTTGCTATTTATATTCTGTATATAGGGCCAGTGGCAATAGCCATTTTCCCAGACATGCTTGGTTTTGATGTCTTGTTTCTCTCTCTCTCTCTCTCTCCATACCTGTCAGCTATTGACTTTGTGTCAAGTCTCCCTCACCCTATAGTTTATTGTTATGTATCATTTTGATTGGCATTTGTTGTTTGCTTTGTAGATTCTATGCATCTGAGATTGTGGTTGCTATCGAGTATCTTCACATGATGGGGATCGTTTACCGTGATCTGAAGCCTGAAAATGTGCTGGTACGATCGGACGGCCATATCATGCTCACTGATTTTGATCTCTCCTTGAAGTGTGAGGATTCAACGGCGACCCCACAGGTTATCAATGCTAAAAATCCGACAAATGGCACCGCCCTGCCAAAGAACTACCAAATTGATGCCCCTCCTTTTGCATCATCCTCCTGCATACTTCCAAACTGTATAGTCCCTGCCGTGTCATGTTTCAACCCAAAACGCAAGCGCAAGAAGAAGTCTGGTCGCCGCAATGGACCTGAGTTTGTTGCCGAACCGGTCGACGTCCGGTCGATGTCATTTGTTGGCACTCACGAGTACCTGGCACCAGAGATTGTCTCCGGTGAGGGCCATGGAAGCGCAGTGGACTGGTGGACTCTAGGGGTGTTTGTGTTTGAGTTGTTCTATGGAGTGACACCCTTTAGAGGCATGGACAATGAGCTCACCTTGGCCAATATAGTGGCCAGAGCCCTTGAGTTTCCTAAAGAACCGGCAGTGCCAGTGGCGGCAAAGGACCTCATTTCCCAGTTACTGGTCAAAGACCCGGCGAGGCGGCTAGGGTCAACGACAGGGTCGTCGGTGATCAAGCACCATTCATTTTTCCAAGGGGTGAATTGGGCACTATTGAGATGTACTACGCCACCATTTATTCCCCCACCATTTAGTAGAGAAAAAGTTGCATTGGATGAAAGCTGCCCTGTGGCCCCAATCGAGTATTATTAGTGGCAACAATGAGCAAGATTGGTTTTGTTTGGGATTAGTAATTAGCAGCCAGCGACAGTCGCACAAATTTCCACGGCTTATTCTGCGAGCACATGGCCTTTGTAAATCTAAATGTGCATATATTAATAAAGCGCCATTAATTGGTTACATAGGTTTATGTTGTGACTAAGAGAGAACCTCAGCCACAATAGCTAGCTGGTTTAGATTTTAGAGCTCTTATAGTATTTGTACTACATCTGCCAATGCCTTTTGTTTCTAATCCAAAAGTCCGAACACTATACAAACTAACATTGTTCGTCATTTCAACAATAGAGTTGTGCTATTTCTTTTAAACTTTGTCTACTGTCATTGTTTCATAATATCTCTCATTTTTATATGATATTGATTCATCTCGTGTCATTTCGTATTTGTAGAAGTCGTCTCTTTTATGTGCTTTTCATGGTGCACTAGTGTGGGATCCCACATCGATTTGCGAAAAGAACAAGTGGCAGCGAGAACGCTAGGTCTCAGAGGGAGTGGATTGTGATATCACACATCGATTCGAGAGAGAAACGAAACATTTTTTATAAGAATGTAAAAACCTCTTCCTATCAGACACATTTCAAAAACCTTCCGAGAAATCTCGAAAGGAAAAACTGAAAGAGGACAATAACGGCGGGCGGTGAATTTATGATGTTACAATTGGCGTCCCTGAGAAAAGTACAAAAAGCATACATCTGATCGACAGTTGAGGGGTTGCGATGGCTGATAGATGATGCATGAGATAGGTATTATGTATTATTGTGTGTGTTTGCATGCGGGGGGTCGCTCACACGTTCACATGGCTTGTTTTGTTTAGAGGAAGAATGTGGGGTTCTCGACACAAACACACAAATGGTTTTGAGCAGTTGTATTCCTGTAGTTTTGTCATGCGTTTGCTTTGATTTGCCTTTTTTCCCTTTTTGATTTCTTCAATATGTCTGTATCACTTTGTCTCTTACTTTCTTAATGTGCATGCAGCCTCTCTCACTTTCATGTTTAAAAGCAAGCGGGGTTTGGCAATTCTGCTAAAAGTTTCCTCCACCCAACTTCTTACCAAACTTTAAACAAACAGCAGAGGTATCAAATAGAAATGAACGATCAAAAAAGCAAGAAACTTGGACAAATCTGCAAGCAGACTGAGCAGAACCATGGATTTGTCAACAGTCTCTCTCTCTCTTCAAGAATTAGAAATGACATGGAGACATGCGGACAAGGTTTGCAGACCTGAATGGAAAGCCAATTATCCGAAAGCCTTAGAATTTTCGTCCCAATAATTGAAAGTGTTATCCAAATTAGACGATCCTTGGCATCATGTGCTTAACTCTTGGTCCTGGATGTGATGGGTAGGACAGACACCGATAAGTGATAAGGAGTCATGGAAATACAGAAGAAAGTTTCTACTGATCTGTTCTTGAAGAACTTCTATGGTCCCATGCTCATTGAGTCGTGACCCAAGAGAGGTAGAAAGTTGTAGCCTATAGGCTTTCTATTTCGATCGATTATGCATTACTATTGTTGTCCCTACTTCTTGTTGATATCAAACTTTTAGAACTTCAAAATTATACATTGTCTTATAATTTTTCCTTTCAAGTTTCCCTTCAACATTTGTTAGGAGGAACCTTGGGGCGTTACAAATGGTATTCCTTTCGAGTTTCCCTTGAACATTAGCTAGGAGTCTTGGGGCGTTACCAATGATATCGGAGCCAAACACCGAATGATGTGCCAGCAAGAAGGCTGAACCTTGAAGAGGTGGACATGAGACTATATACCAGCAAAGACGGTGGACCTCAAAGGGAAGAGGATTAGAGATGCCACTTCAATTAAAGAAGGGAATGAGTGCCAACAAGGATACTAGGACTCGAAGAGGGGTAAATTGTGAGATCCCACGTTGATTGAAAAAGAGAATGAAACATTCTTGATAAGGATCTAGAAGTTTTTTCCTAACCTATACATTTAAAAAAAAACCTGGAAGAAGCTGGAAACTTCAAATATGATCAACGGGGATTGGGCCATTACTGAAAAGGTAAAAGAACACACTTTCTCAATTGGATTAGTATTCCCAAAAGCTATACCCTCTTGGAAAACCAGATAGATTGACTCAAGAAGTTATAAGAACATCCTCATTATTAAATTAATTTTACTCCCTTTAAATCATTGAAATTATTGAAAAAGTTTATAAAGACATCCTCATCCCTTGATTATCTGAATGATTGTTTACTTTTGAGATACACAACACAACACATTTTTACATCTCAAATAAGATAATGTTACCCTTATTAGTGGACACTCATGGTCCTACAACAATTTTTAGAATAACATTAATCAAATTAATAGATTCTGCCTTACAAAACAAACATTTACAATCAGTAAAAAAAACAATCTAATATAATAGTTTTATGTGCATCTACTAAATAGAAAAATCATATGATAAATCTTTTAAACGTATGCATCATGCATGTATAAAATCTTTTACTCTACAGTGACAGAGGGCAAGAAATCATGGAAAGATTTGGTCTTAGGCAGAGAAAAAGTGATGGATAAATTCTGATTCTGTGGCATACCGCACACTGATAGAACAGAGTGAAACAATGATAGGAATTAGCACAGCCAAAATTAATCATGCACAACGAGATAAGAACCATTTGGGAATCATTAATCTCACAATTGAAATGATGGTCATCACTGAAATGTTGAAATTCATCTATCAAAATTTTTGAGTTCCAAATAAGTCAAAAAGAAAAACCTCTACCAAGCTACCACAGCCCTGAAACTGGAACCAAATTCAACAAAAATACTAACTGATAATGACGCCAAATGAGTTGCTCAGTCAAAGAGGCTGAAACCCATATCCTGCAGAAAGATGAAACATAAAATTTAGGTCCATTTTCATACAGTACAAGTCATTCACAGATTAGAATGCAGAATCGCAAATCAAAATGTGTATGCCTATGAACAACAGGTTAAACACTTACATCGTCAGATTCTTCTTTCTCCTCGACCTTCTCCTCTTTCTTCTGCTCGACTGCGGCTGGTGCTGCACCACCACCAGCGGCACCGCCGGCAGGGGCGGCGATGCCGACTGCACCGCCACCAGACGGCACTGACGCTAGCTTCTCCCGTCCGGAGGCTATCAACTCTGTGATATCCTTTCCTTTCACTTGGGATAATAGCGAGTCAATCCTGTCCTCATCCACCTCAGCCCCAACTGTAAATAAAACCCCACAAGAAATCGTAACACGAATTCAATAAGAGCACCCATCATTTCGGGTAATACATTTCAGACTTCAATTAATTTTTTAGCAACTCCCTAACTAAATCATAAAGAGACTGCCAGTATAACAAAATTTCGGATCGATCAAAACCCAGTCATTATCAAATCCTATAACAACAACTCTATCTTCGACAGCAACAACAATGCCAATGTAGCAATTGAATCTGTAAGAAAAGAACAAAGAGTTTGTGAAAGAACCTGAATTAAGAATACACTTCACATCATCGAGTCCGGGGCTGGTGTTGCCACCGAGTACGGCCAACAAATACGCAGCAACCACCTTCATTTCTGCTTCAACACCATCAAATGTTAAAAACCAGAAATGAGAATCACATAATAAAAATCAATGGAAAAACAAGATTTGGAGAAGAAAGAATACTTGAGAAGCTCGTAACAGAAGCCGCAAACAAGAGGGGAGGGAGATCGGAGCCGTCGGTCAAATAGTAAAAAGCCAAATGTCGCGGATGCAACAATTTATAATTAGGGTTCTCTTTTTTGGGCCTTTCGTGAGCCTAAAACGGGTAATGGGCGTCATATGGGCCTCCGGGAGTTTTGCAGTTCCCGGTCCAACTATATATCTTTTCGTCTCATTATGACGAAAATACCCTCTTTATTTGGGCTGGTAAGTGCCCAACCATTAAAAGCCCATGAAACCTTTTCGGCCCAAAAAGAGGCCCGATGAGGAGGGCATTTTCGTCCTCTTGTAATAAACGGTACATGATTGCGCGGGAAAATCTTCTACGGGCAGTGACAGTGTCGCGGCATTTCTTCTCGGAAGCACAGTTTCTGAAAACTCTCTCTCCCCATGTCTCTTCTCGTCTTTTGTTTATTTGAAGCATTATACTCCGATCTTTCGGCGTTTGTTGAAGACCGGCAATTATAATGAGCGGCGAAAGCCGAGGGCGAGGCCGAGCAGACAAGAGTAGTAGGACGAAGAAGCAGAGGATAATCCGTTCCCCCGGGGAGGAGATCGAATCAAAGCTTGGATTTGATATCTTCTCTGAAGGCGATAAGAGGCTTGGATGGTTGCTCACTTTCGCTCCTGTAAGTGGATATTTTAGAATCTATTACGGACAAAGGAACTATTAAATTGATTAGATACTTTTTTACATTTGTTCTTCATGTTCGGAAATTAGCCTGTAATCTTTTATCTATCAGTAAACTTTGTAGAGATTACAATTGTCATGTCTCTTTCTTTAAATCTCATTGCATTTTCAGCATCAAGACTTGGGAAAGAAGGTTTGAAGTGCATAATCTCTTAGTACTAAGACAAATGTTTTTCTAGTTATAAAATAAGTCGGATCTTAGTAGTATCAGTTCTCATATTATTTTTAAACAAATCATGCTTTGGCATCATTGATTAGGACAGCTCAATTTTTTCTACTTATGTTTGTTTTCCAATTTATTAAAAAATGTTGATTGCTCATTTCTTCATTGTGAAAGTTGCATATTGCTAAAAAACTATGGATTCACATATGTACCAAAGCCTTCCAAAGCTTCCAAACCGATCTACTTAATTTATAGTGACGTTTGAGATTCTTCTAAAGTTTTGACTCATAGTACTAAAAAGTGGTGTGTTACTTTTATTGACTATCACACACATCTATCTTGGGCCTATTTAATGAAAAAAATCTGAGGCGAAAGACTTTTTCAAACATTTCTATAATCTGATTGAAACCTAATTTCAAACTAAAACCAACATCTTACACCCTTGCGATGGAGCTGAGTACTTCAACAAGTACTTGAGTGATTTTTGTAAAGGATAAGGGTATTTTACATCAGTCTGCTTGTCAAGATACCCTTCAACAAATTGGAATTGTTGAACAAAAAAGTAGACACTCACTAGAGGTTGCACGTGTCATAATGTTTTCAATGCATGTTCCTAAACATTTATGGGGGAAGTTGTAATAGTTCTAACCCACCGCTAGTAGATACTGTCCTCTTTGAGTTTTCTCTTCAAAGGCTTCCTCTTAAGGTTTTAAAATATGTCCATTAGGTAGAGGTTTCCACACCCTTATAAGTAATGTTTCGTTCTCCTCTCCAACTGATGTGGGATCTCACAGAAGTTGTACTTATATGATAAATAGAATGTGTATGATAAATAGAATGTGTAATATGATAGGAAAAAACATATTGAAATTGACAAACATTTCACAAAAGAGAAGATTGATGCAGGTGTCTTAAGCCTATCTTATCTTCCGGCAGATGATATGTTAACTAAAGGTCTTTCTAAAAGACATTTTGATAAACTTATCAACAAGCTTGCTATGGAAGATATTTACAAAGCAGCTTGAGAGGGCAGTGTTGGATTCCCTTTTATATCTTTTGTATTATTGATTGTGTATTATGTATATATTCCCTATTTTTATTTGTATTACTCTCTACACTGCAATTTTTTTTAAAAAAAAGCAAGAGAAGTAGGAGGTATTGAGGTTTAATATCCATAATGTTTGTGTATGATATATTCGGATAAGTCGTACCTGAGCCTCTCTATATGAAATCAACAAGAATAGTGTGTGTGTGTATATATACATATATATATATATATATATATATATATGTATATATATATATATGAACTCTTACTTCAAAAGTGATCAGATATTTTTAAATAGTTGCTGAACATACGTTAGATGCATTACATTGTGTGATGTGTGCATTACAGGTTCTTGGTTGGCAACAAACAGCTGCAAAGATTGGAACGCAACGCGGTGCTGCATCAACCCAATGGTTGAATGAGAGAATCTCTCTTGCAAGATATGCCCGTATAACTTCTTTTTCCTCCTCCAAATTCTTTATTTATAAGAGTGTTGATATGAACCATACTTTTGAAATCATATTTGGCAGGTACCATAAGGAAATTTTGAACTTGATAGGCTAATTTTTGCAGCAGATATATATTTTTTCAAGGGCATTACATGATCAACAGCAGGTTTTTTTATTTTTAACTTTTAATCTTTAAGTCCGTTTTGTCTTATATTTCCTTGTAGGATCCTTGTTGGCTTACATAATTTAGTTGATTGATTGAAAATTTCTGGAAAAACTGCCTTCTGCAATTTTTTCTTTCTTTTCATTGTATGGTTTGATTGGACTTTTTCCAACCTGAGAATTTGAAATTTTGATTCAGAGGTAGTTGGGATGTTGGAGGTTGGTGTTCTAGGCAAGCCTACCACTAGCACATATTATCCTCTTTGAGTTTCCATTTTAGGCTTTCCCTTGAGGTTTTAAAAATGCGTATATTAGGGAGATATTTCTACACCCTGAATGCTATGTTCCCCCTCTTCAAT